AGGGACGGCTAGCGCAGATAGCCCTCGTGTAGCTTTGCGCGAAATTCAAAAACAAACAAACAATATATGTCTGAAACGTAGCTAATAAAATATATATTTTTTTATTTCAGGAGTTTAAGGCTAGTGTTATTATTTCAACGCCAGTAAATCTATGTTCCAGGAGATATATGATTAGTATGTCATTTTTTTAACTTATCAATATTGGTGTAATAAACTTTTTATTCTATTCCCACGTCTCTGTAATATTTTTAGTAATATTGTTAAACTTGTATCGTTGATTGTACACTAGAAAAACTGAGAAGAGAAGAGAAACAATAAACATTTATTACTAACCATGCTCTTGTCTTATCGTCGTTACACCAATATATCTGTAACGTTGATTATTCTTTTCAAAAACAAATCCCTTACCTTGGTCTCTAGCTAAAACCTACAGCTTTATTTTTTCCCAAGGATGAAACATTAATTCATATACTACAACCTACGTTTACAACTCCACCTGGAACCACAACCTTAGATGTCACATCTTCCTATAACATGACTTCTTTTCACAATATTAGTACCTTGGTCTTTGATTATTTTGTATTATAAAATACCTGTGGTCCATTGCGGGGTTCAAATCCCCCCCCCCCCAAGGTTCTGATAAAGTTTATCTAATATCCCCAATTACTTCTCTAGCTACCTCAAAGGGTGGTCCAATATATTCCTATACTTAAACATCTGTAACCTTGATTTTTTACGTACAACTATGTAACCTTGATATATTTAAACTTGAGTTATGTGTCCTATTTTATAAAACCTATATACAGTTGTGTAACTCTAACCTTTACTTTTCCAAGAGGTATATTCATGGTTTTATTTCAACTTATAGATGTGTAATAATGTCCTTTACTTCGAGTATTAACAGTGTATTGATCTTTATTTTCATCTATATCTGTGGAATTATTATATACAAATATACTTACACGTGTAGCTTTGAATTTCACTTCCACCAGTCTAACCACGATCATTTCCTCCGCCAACGGCTGTATAACCCAGACTCTGACTTCCTCCTGCAGTTTAGCATGGTTGTTTTTAATCTGGTGTCAGCAATGTAACTCCTATTTCTACTTTATTCTACAACTATTGCCATTATCTGTACTCCATGTGAAACAGCTTCTTACAATTCGATTATTGCTGAGTACTCCTCGGGGTTGAGAGAATGATAAATAGATCGCTGAACCCTGTTAAGATCATATTATTCTTTACTCAAGCTGTAAAGAAACTATGCAAGCTTACAGGCTATGTGGGGATATAATTTAGGCAATCAGCGTTTTAAACAAAGCATTACAATAACATTTTAAAGTATATGTCATTTTGGTAGTTTACTACATTTCCCTAATACAGTTCTTAGCAATAAGTATACACCTTCACGTACACATTTATATTAACCAAATAGAATAATGTTGACCGTAATCATCACAGACTAGTTTCGTGGATTATCAAACTTCCAATCAAGTAAAGGATGGAGATGTTTAATTTATCTTCTTTATCGTTCAATCTTTGTATGCCTGTAAAAAGAGCATTCCTGTTAAGCATCGATGTAACAAGAGAAAGTTAGTGTGCCGCCCAAATCACAAAGAATGTTGTTGTATTATCCACAAGCAGAGGTACCCGTCCTTTGTCCGGGTTATGAAGTTAAAATAACGTGTGGGTGGATGCTATAATAAATAACACAAAAATCCTAACTTTCACTCAATTTATTCGCAACATAACATATTACAGTATTCATTGTTAGCTCACCAAAAGTTTTGTATAAGCTTTAATAACTCAATATGTATATACTTAAAACATGGTATACACTGTGCGATTATCATGGTGACTCTTTAGAAAGAGGTAGCGGCCAAAGTAGTTACGGGCAGAAGTTGAAAGGTCACGGGTCAAAGTAGAATAGTAGAACGTGGGTATAACTCAAGAAATGGCTCCTCATATCAACCTGTAGGAGTAGAAACTTCAGCTGAGTTTATGTATTATTGCAATAGAGACAGTTATTTGTTTTTATTTCATTCTTCCGTAAAGAGAGGTAGGGCTCTCTCTGAGATGTATAAGACGTTTGTGTGCCCTCCCCTACACTGTGTTATTTTGAGTTCCAGAAAATTGAATAAAGTTTTTTATTTTTCGTGTTAGGACCTTGGACCATCTATGAACGTAGTTAACGTTAACTTACGTCAAAGATAATAAATGCTCCATAACAACAATGATGAGGGATGGAGGGATTATAAACCCCCATTAACATTTCCTTTTTCCCAAACTATCATCCCATAAAGTTTGGTTGAGATTGGCTTAGCGACCTAAGAGTAGTTAGATAACGGACAGACAGATGTATAGATTTTTGTGTTATATAATATAATATATATATATAGACAAACAGTAATAATTCTGCAATTAAAACAGGTTTAGTGACAAAGTACATGATATACCTCGTGTTTACTTTTCCTTTATCCTTTTCACAAAACCTTTATCTCTTTCTGTTTCTCGATCTGTCATACTTTATTCATTGTGAGTAATTGTTTTTTGTTATTTTCTATTGCTTATTACATGAACTTATCTAAATTTGAGGGATTTATTTATGTAGTTCTCGCTAAAATTTTTGATTCACGCTGTATTCACTTCAGATACTAAACCTATGTCACAGTATTAGGCTCACTCAACCCTGTACTATTTATTCTAACCTATTAACTACAAATACCATACCCATTTCACAGTATTATACTCATTCAGTCCCTGTACTATTTATTCTAACCTATTCACTTCAAGTACCATATCCATTTTACAGTATTAAGCCACTCAGCCCTGTACAACTTACTCCAGTTTTTCACTACAACTACCATACGAATGTCACAACTTTAGGCTCATTCATCCCTGTATAATTTACTTTTGCCTATTCACTTCAAACACCATACCTACTTTACAATGTTAGGTTTACTCAGCCATGTGCTATTTACTCTAGTTTATTCATTTTAGATTACTCTGTTCACTTCACCTATACGTGTTAATTTCACACTGTCTTGTAAATTTTACTCAATCTTATTAGCTCACACCACCATATCGTCTTCATCCTGTCATTTTCATACAATTTACTAACGTCAAAGAGAGTTATTTTATAGCTCTCCTCCCTAATAAAAAACTTCTATCCTCAAATTCAGCTTAGAATAATGTTACGACAGCGGAAGTCACGTGACGCTAGTAACACGTCATGTCCCTTCGTGAAGCCTCTAGTGTTTACTAGATATGCAGTATTCTTGTATATAAGACCGCTAAGAAGTGACGGCAACAATGTAGTTGAATTGCAGACAGAGATAGAGACGGACAGTTGGGTCGAGCGCGTGAGTCGTTCGTTGTGAATTATAGCGTTTGTTAAAGTTATAGCGTGACCGTGGAAATTAAGTGTATTGCAAGGTTGAATTCAGAAAGAATAAACTAGTTTTATTTAACAATAGACTTGTGTCGCTAAAGTTTCATCGGAAAGAAATTATACGGGAAATTAACTAACGATCAGAGACGTTACAATAATATACGGACCTAGCCTCCGCATTAAACATTTATTTCAGTACAAAGATCAAGTACTTAAACTTCTACATTCATGGCTAGTGTATAGATATACGTGTAGTGACTGTAAGGTTACGTACATTGGCAAAAAGAAACGCCACTTAAAAACTATTCTGTGAACATTTAGGAGTATCTAACAGAACCAATCATCCACTGCTTAAACCCAGCCACTCATCCATTCGTTCACATTCTGAAACTACAGGTCACAATATTTCATTTAACGATTTCTCTATCATCACCACAGGATCTTCAGACCTTGACCTCTACATTAAAGAAAGTTAATTTATAGATAAAGACCGCCCGACCCTTAACGACTAGATCTAAAATGGTTCTACATTTTCACTTTAACTCAGCTGTTGTGTAATATATATATATATAAACATTGTTTCATCCGTCCTGGCCCGGCATGGCCAGATGGATAAGGCGCTCGACTCGCAATCTGAGGGTCGCCGCTTCGAATCCCCGTCCCACCAAACATGCTCGCTCTTTCAGCCGTGGGGGCGTTATTATGTTACGGTCAATCCCACTATTTGTTGGTAAAAGAGTAGCTCAAGAGTTGGCGGTGGGTAATGATGACTAGCTGCCTTCCCTCTAGTCTTACACTGCTAAATTAGGGACGGCTAGCGCAGATAGCCCTCGTGTAGCTTTGCGCGAAATTCAAAAACAAACAATCATCCATCCAATTACCATTTTTCCTAATAACTAACTAAACTAATGATTATGTTATTATATTATAATTTTAGTTTGTTGGTTTGTTTGAAGGTAAGGACAAAGCTACACAATGGGCTATCTGTGGGCCCACCACGGGTATCAAAACCCGAATTCTAGCGTTGTAAGTCCGCAGACATACCGCTGTGCCACTGAAGGGCAATATAATTTTAGTAATAATCATCTTTGTAACACAATTTTCAGATTTCGCTGAAGATGGAATAAGTTATTCCGAAACGTTCGAACCTTGTAAATAAACCGTCTACACCTTCATTATGAATCATCATCAAGCACGAGTTTTGCTAAGAACTGTATGCCACGTTAACAGGGAAGCCTCTTTAATACCAGAAGAAAATAAAAACGTTTCCAACGTCTCTAGATATAACCGCCAGTCTTGAAACAGCTGAGCGAATTATCCAAAAATCAAGAAAATGTAAAAGATAGAAAAGTTCTGATCTAAGTCTTGGAATACATTAAACTTCCCTAAAGGCAGGATTAACAAAGTTAAAGGCTGGGCACATTCTGTACGTCTAAAACTTGTAAATGAATATAGAAGTATTTATTAAAATTTTGAAAACTCTATAGCCCCCAGATATATTCATATTCTATATCATTAGAGGGTTTAGTTTAATTTAGTTTATAATTTAGTTTTGAAATATACGTTTATATTACTTTTCAGTAAAATACAAAGAACAATTAAAAAAATTCACCAAATGAGAAGATTCTTTTTTAGAAGACACCATCATCCTCCTCCTTGTCTGCATACTTGCCTGTTTCGCATAGTCTTTGTTCCTGAGAATATACAAACGAGCAATATGACAAAAATGCCGTTTGGTCCCCTGGGGTTACAACTAATCCTCAAGCAACGAAAATCAACTTTAATTCATCCATAAGTAATATTTTACATTAATATACTTATTCATCAAAAACTTAATTAATATTAACAGAACCCCACAGCATCATCAGGTATGTGTTTGGTTGATCATAGTTTTAGTGTATATTTGTTCAGTATATAAACGGACATGGGATTATCTTGCCACATA